CATTCTATAGTGAAGTGTCTCCCGGCCTGTGGCAGGGGGTAGGAACTGGAGGAGCTTTAAGGTCCCTTCCAACCCAAACCAGTCTGGGATTCTATAAATGTAACACAGAGTCAGGTGTAAGCAGCCACCTGCTTCCTCAGGCTGCTACTGGGTTGAAATAGACCTCAGTCAGCTGGTCTAGAAATCAGTTGAGTGCTGAGCTTGGGTAATGAGTTTCCTTAGAGGCAACTTGTTGGCTTAAAGTGATGTACTGGTCAGCAGCATTTGCACACATGGATAAGGGGAGCAGTAGGAGTATCCTGGGGTGGGATTCAGGGAAACAAGAGACTGTTCTGGAGGAGATATATCCTAAATAAACACTGAGGTGACTCACAGCATCAGATCTGTTCACCTTAGAATATGAACATCTAGAAACAGTAGCAATGTGGTATTGAAACCAGAGAGAGCCCAGTGTTCCAACAGCACCATGCAGAGGTTATTCCCATCTCCTCCAGCACACAATACAATGTGCATAACAAACCAACACCTAGAAGGACAAGGTGAAGGGGGGTGATCTCTTCTACTCTTCAAAAGAAACACCCACTTACATGTTTTACATGCCAGGTACATTACAAAAATACACAGCACAGCCTTTAAAAATGAAGTTCCAATGCACACCTCCATCCAAACAAGATATTCCAACACTGAGAGCATCTGCTCCATGAACAGCCAAGAGGATTTAGTCTTACGTAGGTGGTTTATTGTAAGAATTTACAGATTTCTGGGGCTTTCCCATTTGTCCACAAAATAAGAGCAGTTTTGTTACCACAGACACGGGCAGGTTAAACCACATGCTCAGAAGAGCTCTTCACCTGTAAGGAAAGTGGAAGCAAATTAAACCTCTTCTATTTAATCAATCATGTAATAATTTTATCTCCTCCAATTTAACACTTCATAAATATTCTTTCCATCTTCCCCCAATTCTTTATCAAGTCAATTTTTCCCTTAAGTTTTAAATTTGGGAATATGCTTATTTTAACTACAGAAACCTCTTTAGGTAGAACATCTTATATACAGACATTCTTAAGTCATTGCACAGTATCAGGGCACTATGAAAACATTAAAACAGTAATTGAAAACTAATCCAATAACCCAGAAAGAAATAAAACCACCACAGAAAATCCTGTCAAATGATATCATGGATGTGTTTTGCTTAAAATCACTGACACTTCAATGCTTGTTCAAATTCAAACCAGCAGCAGGAGCTTTTGAGCTCTTTGGGAAGAGAAGTTTGGCTGATCAACACAAAACCACTGTATTCCAACTGATTCAGTTGACTTGGAGATTTTCTGTGCTGATCCATTCTAAAACACAATCTATTTTGTCAACTTTACCTCTTGGATTTGGCTGTAACCGCTTTTTTCCCCCCGATTAATCCCTGGTTATGGTATTATGAGAGAAAACAGAACAAGCAGGTTAGGAAGCAACTCATGCAAATTCAGGCAAAACTATGCATTTATGACCACAAATGTATTGTGAGGAGCACAATACAGCAGCTAACTGCTGCACAGTCGGTATTCCATGGTAGGTATTCCAGGCATTTTGTAAACAAGCAGGGTATTAACACACCTATTTGCATCTGGATATAGCACACATTAAGATGTCATACACATTGGGTAGATGAGGTTACAACTTGTGGGCCAAGCCCACACGTTTGTAACCTGCAGTACACGCAGTCACAAAGCTTTTCTCAGGGAAATAAGCAAAATATTGAGCTTCAAAGTATAAAATACACATTTTGTAGCAAGAGACTCTGGAAATTCCCTCCTCCTTCCATCCCCACCCCTAAACTCTGCTTCTAAATGCTGCCACAGGCTGATTTAGCCAAAAACTAAAGTTTCAGTCACCCGTGTTGCTCTCCCTCACCCACCACCACTCGGCTATCTGGGCAAAGTAGGAAAAGTCCAGGTGGAGGATGAAATCCACTGACAGCCAAAAGGAGGAACAAACACCAGCTGGAGCACTTCCCGTATGGAGCCAGGCTGATAACACTGGGGCTGTTCAGCCTGGAGAAGAGAAGCTGCGTGGAGACCTCAGAGCAGCTTCCAGTGTCTGAAGGGGCTACAAGGATGCTGGAGAGGGACTCTTCATCAAGGATTGTAGTCATAGGACAAGGGGTGATGGGTTCAAACTGGAACAGGGGAAGTTCAGGTTGGAGATAAGGAAGAAGTTCTTTACTGTGAGGGTGCTGAGGCGCTGGCACAGGGTGCCCAGAGAAGAGGTAAATGCCCCATCCCTGGCAGTGTTCAAGGCCAGGCTGGACAGAGCCTTGGGCCACGTGGTCTAGTGTGAGGTGTCCCTGCCCACGGCAGGGGGTTGGAACTGGATGATCTTACGGTCCTTTCCAACCCAAACCATACTATGATTCTATGTTCAGACAAAGGCATGTGTTGAGGCTAAAGATCTATTCTACCAGCGTTTTAAACTTAACCTGGCCAAACCCAAGCCTGTCAAACTTCACGCTTGTTAGTAGAACTGCACAAGCTGGAAAACTCAAGACTCATGCCATGGATTGTCTTCCCTTCAGTGTTACGACCTTCATGCCCTAACCTTCCCTGGTCACCTGCCTGAAGTAGGACACACACACATTACATGGCATTGCAACCACTCCTGTTTTACGTATCCACAGGTACTCACAGAGCAGCAGCACCAGAGATGATCTCAATAAGCTCCTTGGTAATGACGGCTTGGCGGGTACGGTTGAACGTCAAGGTCAGTTTGTCAATCATCTCAGCTAGGAAAAAACCATAAGATTTGGATTTAAACATGTAATAAGTATACAAATACAGATAGGGAGAAGATGTATGAACAGAGTATCAAGCAGTCTTGTAAATTCATGCCGACAAGGAAGAGGTTTGCTGCACTTTTCATTTTTTCCCCATAGGTAACACTCGATTTAGAAACTTGATAATTTGGCTTGAGGCATCAGAGTTAAGTATCTGAAGAACAGCTGATAGATAGTACACATGATGGTATGACACAGCCTATTTAACACAACAGAAGTATTCATTACTTGCTTTTAAATTAGATTTTACTGTCAATTAACTATATTGTGATTTCCTTCAAGTTATTGTGGCTCTGGCAAAAGGAAACAGATCTTTCTGAAGTGTTATTTCTTCATTTTTCTTCTAAACACAGAAGGTATCACCTCTCTCTGTCAAGATAAGAGAGGTAGCAGAAAGCCACACGTACAGTTCCAGATAGCCCAACTGCTCATCACACCAACTTCACTCAGTCACCAGTGTCCTTCAGGCAACACTACCCTTCTTAAGGCTGGAATCTCCTCAGCATGCCACATTAAAAGCTGTCTCCCACTAATACCAATTGCATATGCCATGCTCTACCCAGCCTGGACACCTTCCAAGGAATACTTGTGAGAAGGACATGGAGCTGTTGGAGCAAGTACAGAGGAGGCCACAAGGGTGACCAGGGGCTGGAGCACCTCCCATATGGAGACAGGCTGAGAACATTTGGGCTGTTCAGCCTGGAGAAGAGAAGCTGCGTGGAGACCTCAGAGCAGCTTCCAGTGTCTGAAGGGGGCTACAAGGATGCTGGAGAGGGACTCTTCATCAAGGATTGTAGTGATATGACAAGGGGTGATGGGTTCAAACTGAAACAGGGGATGTTCAGGTTGGATATAAGGAAGAAGTTCTTTACTGTGAGGGTGCTGAGGCGCTGGCACAGGGTGCCCAGAGAAGCGGTAAATACTCCATCCCTGGCAGTGTTTAAAGCCTGACTAACTCAAAACAGAATTGAGAGACAAACCAGCTCATTTCTTACCATTTTGGAAGCAAAGAATTACAAAAGGGAGGTCAGTGCTCTCATGCTAAAGTACTGAAGTCTCGAGAGACCCACAGAGTGGACTTACAGGCATTCTTGCTAGCATTGTCCATAGCGGTCATCCTAGCACTCTGCTCGCTGGTGGTGGATTCTTTCAGGGAGTAGTAGAGAATATTTGCTAGTGTAAATTCCTGGTAGTTTCTCAGCACATCAGCATCAATATCATCATAGATACTTAGGCTTTCTGTAAAATAGGAAAGAGCAGACTGAGAGAAATCCAGGACATACTATTTCTAGCAAAACAATACACCACCATGCAAAAGGCTGCTAGGCCAGCCTGTTTCTCTACTTCAGGCAATCCCAAGGGATTTTCTCTACCTATCCTGTGTCCTTTCATATTATCTTTGCTATTAAAAATTTTGTTAAGTATGTCATGTGATTAATTTAATACTCAGAAAGTCAGATTCTGATCAAGACCAAACACAGGACTGGCATGTTATGCTTAATTTTCCCACACAGTGCTGCAGAACCATTCTGGGGTGGTTTTACAGAGTCAATGCAAAGTCACTCCAGTGCTGAAAACACTGGAACTGACAGAGTTCTCCATATGCACAGCTCTTGCTTGAGAAAGAATCTCAAACCAAAATTAGTACAACCTTTCCTTTTAACCTCACAGCACCTTGTTAAGTCAGCTTTGGGCTGCCAAGATAACACAATCTGCTCAATTTACGATACATGCACGATATTATCAATACCATATTAGTTACACACACCACATTACCAATACCAATTATTAGTATCCTATTCCCATGTTCAGAATACTCTCTGTGTGATATATCACTTCACGTAACTGCTGGTTTCTAGTTTACTACTTACCAGAACCAGCAACTGTTTCAAAGGAGAAGATTGGTTTTTCATCGGTCTTGTAGGAGATGACAGACCTGGATAAAAACAGCATCTTCAGTTCAACTAACCCTAAATCGAGTGTTTAAAACAAAATCAGGAGAGGCAGCTTTTGGCCCCCAATTCCACAAAGTTCTGTTATAATCCTGATGAAGAGATCTCAGAAACCACATGGATACAACATGCTGACTGTAAATGTAATGTACAAAGAGAATTTCAATCACAAAAAAACCCACCAATGGCTCTTTCACACACAGAAAATACCCACTCCTCAAGAAATAAACATGACAAGTCATAATTTTCGTATTACTTGGAGACCAACGTGCTCTTTGAAGCTTTCTACCCACTACTTTTCCAGTGCAGTCCCAGTCTAATCTTACTTGAACCGATTGTAGATGACAGAGCCCTCATCGAATTCATAGCCAGAGTTTAACAGCTCCAATGCAATGACTGAGGCATCTCCAAAGCTCGGAGGTCTCCGTCCCACCTTAGCAGGAAGTAATTGCCATGTGTCCTGCAGGAACATGAGATCTGTCTTAGAAGCAAGTGGATGCTCTAATGTACAACTATGTGGCAGCAAGACTTACTTCCATTGAATACAATATCCTCCTTTCTAAGCTGTGTTGACATTTCTACCACAGAATACTAACAAAGCCACCAAACCAAACTTTTTGGGGGTTCTGGGACCCATCCTGTTTACCTCTGAAGGAGGCCTCTGATCTTGTCACCTACTCCAACCACCATAACTTCTTTTCCCGCATTTGAGAGGTTGGTAATCTCATTCTTCAAGGTTTTAGCAATAGATGTATGGATAGCACCACACAGGCCTCGATCAGAGGACACACCAATAAGGAGGTGCTTCTTCTTGTCCTCAGGTGCCTTTATTTCTGCTTTCTCATAGAGAGCTAAAAAAGAAAGGATGGTTAAGTTTTTAAGGGTGCCAAGAAGCAAATCGGTCATAGCAAAACACCTTTGAATTATTCCAATTAAAAACATTTCTAAAAGGGCTCCAAATCTCAGCCAGATTAATTTTTTCTCCCTCCTGTTCATTCAAGCTTGCACATGACCTGACCAGAGGTGACAGTGCAAAACCAGCCACATCTCTGATCGGGTATCACACAATCCATGCCATGACTTAGTTAAGGTCACTGCACAAAGCCAGTGCACCAGAAGCATGTGCAGCCCCAGAGTTCACAAGAAGGTCTTGCAAGTGGCTGTAGGTGCTATAGAGATACAACACAACTCCACTAATAGATAGAAGCAGGACAGATATTCTGAGCTGTGGTGCTCTGGCAAGTGACAAAACCAACCATGCAACCACCCGAAGTTAAAAACATAGTCAGAAATCATCATGAATTGGGGATGAATAGCTCGAAAGCTGCTCAGCAGAAAAGGACCTGGCGGTGCTCACTGATGGAGCTGAACATAAGCAGCTTGTGCCCAGGCAGCCAAGAAGCCACCAGCATCCTGGCCTGTATCAGCACCAGTGTGGCAGCAGGGCCAGGGCAGTGCTTGTGCCCCTGCACTGCGCACTGGTGAGGCTGCACCTTGAATCCTGTGTTCAGTTCTGGGCCCCTCACTACAAGAGAGACGTTGAGGTGCTGGAGCAGGGCGAGAGAAGGGTAGCAGAGCTGGAGCAGGGCCTGGAGCACAAGTGTCATGAGGAACAAGGACATGAGGGACCTGAGGGGTTTAGTCTGGAGAAGGCTCAGGGGGGTCCTTATTGCTCTCTACAACTGCCTGACAGGAGGATGGAGCCAGGAGGTGGCTGGTCTCTGCTCCCAAGGAACAAGGGATGGGACAAGAGGAAATGGCCTCAAGCTGCACCGGGGGAGGTTTAGCTGGAGCTGAGGAACAATTCCTTGCCCAGAGGGTGCTCAGGCATTGGAACAGGCTGCCCAGGGGACACATCCCTGGAAGTGTTCACAAACTGTGGAGGTGAAGCCCTCAGTGCCATGGGTTAGTGGTGGCATTGGCAGTGCTGGGGAACAGTTGGACTTGATGAGCTTTTCCAACCCACTTGATTCTATGATTCTACGAATTTCTCATTAGAACTCTTAAAAATCACTTTCTGTAAACTACTTAAAAGGAACGCTCAGAGTGGCCTCGAGATGCAAATTCTTTTGGGGAAAACCACTGAAAGGTTAAAAAAGTCCAGGCCTTTCATCACCCCCATGAAAACCTTCCTCTTCTGCTCCCACATCACCAGAGTCTCCTCTCACCCAGAGCTCCCGTTCCATAGATCCTGGCAGGCTTCAGCTCCCTCTCAGCTCTGGCATATTTTGCTGCAGAAACCATCTTCATGGACTTTGTAATTTTCTGAATGTTCTTGATGGACTTCAAACGCCTGGTAACTACAAGGTTAAGAATTGAAAGTCATGGGCTGTACTGGGCATAATGATATCAAAACCAAGCAATCAAACGCTAGCAACAGTCATCCCAAAGTATCTGGCCAAGTTCCTCAAAGAAGAAGAAGTAAACAAACAATGCACAAATAAACCTTAAAAAAGACCTTAGTAGTAACAGTAAGGAAGTAGTAAAAGTAGTCATCTGGCTCACCAAAATGCACCCCTACAAGAGATATGGTTTTCCTCCAGACATAACATTTATTTAATATTTAATCCAACATAAAATCTATTTACAATCCTCTTTCATTCCACTTCTGCCTGTTTCACAAATATATCATTAAAGGAATGTTGTCATCTTTCTCCCAGATGACAAGGAGAGAAAAGAAACAAGACCCCATATTATGAAGACCCAGAATGAACTTCCTCCTCTGCTTAGACTGTGGCAGAATGAGACTCATAAAAATACTGATGCAAAAAAGAAAGTAAAACAGGTGTTTGACAGACAAGCACAATTCCAAGGCAATATCCCTGTATAAGAACCTATGAAGAACAGCTAAATGAAGCATTATCAAAGCAGAACCATTCAGTCAACCTTTTTCCCCCCCAAATGCTACAGAAAAGGACAAGGAAATAAACATAAAAGAAATTAACTCTTAAAGGTGACTAAAATCTGGTTTCGCATATAGGATAATGTTATTTTGTACAATATCTTTAAGTAAAACTGTATTGGTTTGCTGAAATGGCATGTAAACTAGTGCTAAAGCTTTTTAGAGCAATGCCTTTTCTGAAGGACATTTGTTCAACACAGGACATGCTCATGGATCAACATTACAGTGTATCACAATGAATTTACACAACAGGTGACTTGTACTTGAATTTAGGGCTTTCCTGCAACACTTCCCCACTCTCAGAAGCAAACAAAACCAGCACTTACTGTCTTTTAAAGTTGCCATGTTCCTGACTTGGCCCCTGAAAACGAATGGGGGAGAAATTAGGATAGTTCAACTGGATCTGCAGCAAACCAAGCCCTGTCAAGGTTCTTAAGGGATGAAACCTTAAGAACTGCTGTTTCTTAAGAAGCATCTATAGCAGTGACAAGCTACTCTAAAGTGTGCATTGCACACACGGCTTCCATCCTTCTCCTCACCTCCTGTATCATTTCATGCATTACCACTGCCTCAAGCACAGTGTAAACGAGGGTATCAGAAGGCAACAGGGCATCAGAAAGGTAAAACGTCAAGAAAGCGCACTAGTTTTATTAACGATTAAAGCGAAGCAGAGGAGGGTACACCGCTTCCCGACAAGCACAGCCTGTCACACACAGAACTACCCTTTTAC